TTCTCATACACTGTCTTATAAACGGCTAAAATTGTACCGCAATCGCCAACAGCATAATGTCACGTATTAATTGTATTCAACGTCTGGGCCGTCTGTGACGTCACGAAACAATGGAAATATAAATACAACAAGGTGTAACGAGCTGGCAAGCAGATGTTTGTATAAGATGTTCCTTATTCCGAAGTCAATACATTACTCTATTCTGATCGCCTCCACAAGATTCTACATTTCGTTACTACATAGTTCAAAATGTCAGCCATGGGGCCTATATATGGTGGCGTCTTAGCTACCTGTATAATGCAACCATGCAAAAATTATCAACAGGAAAGAGATGTGAAACGTTCAATCTTTTTCTTATCAGTTGAAACGGATGTTAGAGGGTCGTCAATTTCATAATTTCAATGGCATGTTCTCTTATTGGACATTCTTTGGGGTATAACGCTTTTCAGTAGCTTTAGGCCGTTACAATGACCAAATTACTCGTGTCAATCAAGAAGTCCAATATCGAAGCGTGCAATTGTTGTATTCTTGACAATTATGTAAGCCTCACAAACTGACACAACAGAGTTTACAGGAGTAATATGATAGCAGATGCCACTCAGGGGAGTGGGAACTGTCAACTAAACGGCATTTAACCAAGCTTTTTTGGTGCTCTACAAAGTGCTTTGTCTGCGAGGGTTTCCGGTTTTAAGCTGGGTGGGTCTAGTAAAGTGAGGTGCAATAATGTCACGCTATTTCAGATGTAATCCTGTTACGTTGAAACTGCTTACAAAATAAGACGAAACCTCCAAGCAATGGTTTGTAACTGTCGGAAAATAAAAACAAGGCTAGAAAGATGAACGGCAGGCAAAATGTGACCAGATTAAAAGGAACATCACTTCATCCGGACCGACAGGAAATAGGTTCCATTGATGTGTATGATATTGTGGTTTATTATACTCGTAATCATCTATGTTTGTCGTGTGGCTGCTATGTAATCGTGAATGTCCAGTGTCGTGTTCAAGTTTACAATTCTTAATTAAAGACGACAAAGGACAATGACCAAAATAGCGTGACCAAAAAAGCGTGACAAAGCCTCCAAAACTGCTAATTAATCATTCGTTCATTCCGATTGGCTGGCTGCACCTGGGATACTAAGTCAACTTTTCAAATAAACTGAACTATTCCCAGTCTGGGAAGATTGACGAAAACAGGTCCCGTTTCAAGTACGTGCTGTAAACTAAATGAAGAAAACTTGTTTTAGTTTTTCCAGTTATAGTATATGAGGGTTGCAAATGCCTGTTTAAAAGACTGATTACAAACTGTTACCCTTACATAAAACTCAATGAAGCAGGATATGTAATATCAAAGAATGACATTGACAGTTTTGTCTGTCAAAAGTGTATGTTGTGTTAAATAAGAAGAAATTATATGGCTGGTAGCTGGGCCAAAAATATAATGGACTGTAAAATGTTGGAATTCACACTCAAAATCCTTCAAGTAACCAACTATATATAAAGACACTGTTATTTCGTCATTCATAATGTCCCCCAACCATGACTTAGTTTAGTTAATCATTGTTATTAAATAAAACAAATGATTATTCCACGTGGGAGACGTCGTTTAAATCTGATGACTCAGCTGCTCCAAGTGACCCTTGATCTTTCCTATTATGTGTAATTTATATTGGCCACTAATAGAGTAAGTTGGTGATTAACTGATAATTATTACTGAATATTTTCCTGAACATTCAAAAGAACAAGTCTAATCGGGTAATCAGAACTTCTATCGCATTCTTAGCAACGAGGAACGACTATTAATATTTGGTTTTTTGACTAAGTTTTCCAAATCTTACTGGACTTTCTTTAAGTACTGATTACAGCACCGAAGATAATGGAAATCTTGCACAAAAAAGATGGTCGTTATTGTGGTCAAAATTATTTCATAATAGCTTGTGTAACATTATACAAGGGGGCAACACAAGACAGTCTACAGACACGCAGCGAGACTGAAAATGCTGTGAAAAAAAAATTAGTTTTCACCAAAACCTTTGCACTAAACTGTACACAGGTAG